GCTGAGTTATATATATATATAAAATTATTAGATTCTTAAGAATTCTCTTTTAAATATCAGTTATTTCTTTTTATATATACAGGCTCGGTTCTTTATAGCTTATGGGTTCCGCCCCTAACAATAGTAATAAGATCTTACTATTCTTCTGTTTTAGCTTAATAATATAATTAATTTTTAAACTATAAAGTAAGAAAAGAGCTTTAATATTTTTTAGCTTAAAAGATTTAGAAAACTATTAATATCATAAAAAAAGAATATTCTTAGATTTAGCTTTAGTTTTTTATATAGAGTCTTCTTAATATCTTAAAATAATATTATAAATATTTCTATATTTTATTTCTAAGATTTCTTTTTTTTTCTTAGTCTAGATTTAGAATACAGCAGCTGAGATTTTAATTAAGAAAGCTTATATTATTATTATTATTTTTAGTCTTAACTAAAACATCTAAAAATATATATAATTCTAATTTAATTTAATTGTTTTATTATATCTTCTTAATTAGAACAGATCTAAGATAATATTATATTCAAGCAGATAAATTATTATATATATATAGATATCAGACTTAATATATATCTTAATATTTAGTTATATATAGATAATATAATTAATTATCTTCTTCTTATTAATTCTAACTACTAAAATAGATATAATAAAAATTAGTTTCAAACTTTATTTTTATATAAATTTTTAATTAATAATTTTATAGACTAACTATTCAGTATTTATTATTATTTAAACATTAATTATTTAATTTAAAATAGTTTCTAGAAGTAAGAGTCTGATATTTATATATTATTTTTTAAAAATTTTCTAATTTAGATTAACTATTCTATTTAAATATCTCTGTTTATAATTTTATATAAAGATTATTCTTTTTTCTAATAATTCTTATAATTATCTAAGATCTTCTTAGACTGATTCTCTTCTTAGACTATAAGCATGGTTTATATAATTAGTTAGATAATAAATTCTTAATTATATTTTTGTATTAGATATTCTTATTTTTTATAATAAAAATAAATATTTATTTTTTTTATTCTCTGGAGCTCCTGGGCGATTATTTATTTTATTAAAAAAGAATTTTATTTATATATTTTTTTATTTTAAGCTAATCCTTAATAATTTATAGCTATAGTAGGATATTCTTAGTTTATAATATTAAATAAGTTAATAATTAATATAGACTGATAATAGTTCTATCTCTAAAATCTTTTTTTTAGAATAATTTTTTTTATATTATAATTATACCGCCGCAGTTAATTATAATATTTTTTATAAATAAAGCTCGTCTATAAACTAATAATTATTTATTAAAAAATATAGTCAAGAATATTTTTTAGAATAGTACTTTTCAGACTATTATTCTTTATAATATTATTAATTTATATAAATATAATATTAAAGTTCTTCAAGAACCTTTTGAATTTTTAATTATCTTAATAATATAAATATAACTTATTTAATATCTTTATTTTTTAATTCTTATTTTTATAGACTTTATTTAGCTTAATAATAATATTAATATAAATAGCTTTGCTGCTTAGATTTTAATATTAAAATAAGATTTTTTTTACTATATTTTCTTTTAAGTATATAAATATATAAACTATTTTAATAGTATTATCAGAATATACATCAATATTTATTATAAATTTAAAGTATAAGTATATCTTAAAATTAGAATAATATTTATTATTTTTATTAAAGACTTTGACTTTTAAATAGAGAGATCTTAATTATATAATTAAATAATTATTTATAAGAGTCTTAGTAATATTTTCTGCTAAGATAGTAATTCTATCTATTATCTAAATATTTATAATATTTTATAATTTATTAATATATTAATTAAATTACTTTTATTTATTTTATTATTATATTTTATAATAATTCTATTATTTTATTATTAATAATTCTGCTTTTTTTAATCTATATATTAAACTAATAAGATATTATATTTATATTAGATCTTTTATTATTTTTTTTATATATAGTTAATTACTGATCTATAATATCTTTTTATAAATTATTAATCTATTTTAATTAATATATAGCTAATTATTAAACTGCAGTATTCTAATCAATCTAGTCTAATTAATATATAGCTGATTGCTGAACTATAATGTTTTTTTTTATAAATTATTTTTAATATTAAGAGTAGAATTTATAAGCTATACAAAATCAAGTCTATATATAAAAAAAATAACTGATATCTAAAAAAAAATTCTTAAGAATTTAATAGTTTTATATATATATATATAGAGTGGCTTAACCTGACTGTTATATCTTAACCTTAATCTGGCCATAATCTAGCGGTCAGATTAAGATATAAAAAATTTTTAACTATATAGTTAAGATCAGATTAAGATATAATTATTATTATAATTATTTATATCTGCCGGTCAGAAAGATCAGATATAGTAGATAGATTAATAACTATAGATTAATTTATAATATATATATTCTTCTTATATAAATAATATATAAAGTATAATATATATTTAATTATAGTATAAATATAGTAATATTCTTTAGATATAATCTATTGCTTAATTTATTTAATTAATTATCTTAAGAGATATACTATACTCTGAAAAAGGCTTTTATAGAATCTAGTATAAAAGAAATAAGAAAAAATATAAAATATTTATTCTTTATATTATTTAAAATAATAATTATAATAATATAGAAATTATAAAGATCAGATCTCTATTTTTATCTAAGTATATATAATAATTAAAGACTTAGATAAGACTAGTTTTTTTAATTCTAATAATAATTTATTCTCTGAGTTATCTTCAAGATTATCTATATTCTTATTTTTATTAATATAAAAAATAATAATTATCTTATTCTTCTCTTACTTCTTAAATATAAAAATAATTAAATCTAAATTAAGATTATTAAGTATATTCTAATACTTCTTACTTATAATAAAATAATTAATATATATTTAAAGTATAACTGCTTTAATTATATTAAAATTAAGACAGCTTTGATAATAGTAATAGATATCTTAAAAATTATTAAAAAGATATTTAATACTAATATTATTAATTATAATCAAGAGAAAATCTCTAGTTATTTAATAAAGAATAGAAAACTAATTATAGTAGAATTTTTAATAAATAAGAATATTAATATATTCTATAGTATCTGGAATTATATTAGTTTAATTAAAGATATCTTAAGAAACTATATATCTTTAATATCTAGATATATTTTAAGTTCTTTATATATTTTAATAAAAGCTGGATATAAGATAATCTTCCGATTCTTTGTAATATATATAATCTTGAGATTTAAGAGAGAAGAAAAGATCTAACTTAAAAAGCTTATCTTAGTTTAAATATTATTATAATTTATAAAGATCTGAGAAATAGAAGAAGAAGACTTAATAATATTCTTTAAAAATAAATTAGATAATTATAATTAATTTATAATTCTGAAGCTGTTCTGTAAATAATAAATATAAAAAAATAAAAATAGAAAACTTTATAAAGATAGTTTATTTTATTTTAAGATATAACTTTATATAAATATAATTTATTATATTTTAATATATAGCTAAGATATCTGTTATATTTTATTTATTTTAATAAATTTAGTAATCAGAAATTTATATCTGAAGTCTAGAGTTATAAAATAATTCTTTCTTTTAAATAGAGCTGCTTAAGATATAATAGACTAGAATAAAAAATAGATATTTATAAAAAAGATTTATAAAAGATTTTTATAGAATCTTTTATAAAAGCTATAATATTATAATATAGATCTAATATATTCTATTTATTTATTCTATTTATTTAATCTGTTTAATCTATTTAATCTATTTAATTTATTTAATCTGTTTTATTCTAATAATTTAACTATTTATAATCTTTTTAACTGCCTGCTAGTTTCTGATTTTATTAATAGCTCTTCGAGCTATATCTTATCTATAAATCTAAGAATAATCTGATTTAGAAAAAATAATAGAATAGAAATAGTATATTTATTCTTAGTATTCTAATTAATAATTAATATATAATTTTTTTAGTGTTTTATAATATAATTAAAATATACAGCTAAAATAGAGCGGTAATTATATATTTTTATATATATTTTTTATTATAAGAATAATAATTTTATAAAAAACTAAATTTTATTAATATAACTAGAATTTTTTTATTATTTTTAATAAATAATAATAAAAAAGATACTAATTTCTTTCTCAGTTATATTTTTTTAATCTAAAAAGCTTCTTTTTATATACTTTTAGATAATAATAAAGATAATCAGATTAATAATTATTTAATCTGAGTATATCTTAATTATACTAGAGCTTAAAAAGATATAGTAAATAAATCTTAATATTAAGAATAATTAAGATAATTAACCGCCCGGTTTTTAGCTATACCGCGGTCAGATATAAAAATTTTCTTAATCTGATTATAATCTGGTGGTTAGATATAAAAATTCCAATTAATCTGACCTGATCTGGCTGTTAGCCACTCTATATATATAACTCAGCAGATATCAGTCTAATAAGATATACTAGCTGAGTCAGATAGCTCTGGGATGTATCTTATAATAATAATAAAATACTTAATCTCTTTTAGCTAATAATTATCTGGCAGATTCTTTTAATAATTATCAGAATATACACTTACTCAGCCAGAGATGGAATAATCATATTCCATCCTTAGTAAGCTGTAGTAGCCAATTGCATCATATCAGTTATGACCAGGTGGGGCAGCCTGGCAGCCAAGGTCGCCGGCGCAGATCCCCTCCGAGCCATAGAATATGACAGACTGTGGATCCGACCGGGAGCAGCACATCGTACGACAGCATGTCACATGTTGGTTCTTGGCGCACGCGTTCCCGCTTCAGCGCCAACAGTGACTTTGCCACCCCAGCAGCAGGTATCTTTTTCCTCAGGTTCCAGAAATGATTCATTTGTAGCTGTGGTGAGTAATACAAAGGATTCTCTATTCTACAGCTAACCCAGAGCACAGATGCTGGATTCACGCAAGTTATTAGAGTTGGATTGCAACTTTTGTGGAACAATTTTACTGGCAGGAGCCTCGCCGGACATTTGCTGCAAGATCACAAAACTCACTTTTCATCAACATGTCGATGACACTCATCGGTGTTCAGTTTGAGGACATCTTCACCAAACATACGGTGATACATTCAGTTGGAGTCCCTCTAGCGTGATTTTCCTCCATCCGACGGCAATCTGAGCCACCCTCCAACCCAGCCAGATAGCTGACAAATGAATTGTTTTTGAAACCTGAACTTGCTTCCTCAGGCACGCGTAGGAAACCTTCTCCTGTAGGGTAATGTGGTAGTCAAATCTTGGATTGATATCGGGACGCTCCACATCTTATGAATCCTATAGCCTTGCCCGTTTTGGTTTGGGATGCCTCCATTGAGGATGTGGAGCGGACTTGCTAGCTTTGGCGAACTTCGCAGTCCAAGAGTCGGTCTCGTCCTCAGGCCATATCTCATAGCAGAATTCTTCTGCTCCAGGCACAGTGGGATGCACCAGTTCGATCTTCTTGACGCAGTAAGGTCCTCTTTCCCCCTTCAAAATTGGCTCTTCGATTGCTTGGTAGTTTGTCCCTCCATGCGGGTTGAATCTTTCGGGAGGTGGAGGTGTCACGACTGTGACTGTTCCCCCGTATTGTGCAATATGAGAGGCAAAAAGAGCCGATGCGCCGTGCATATATCTGCTCCAGCCTTGCTTCGATTTATGGAGATGCCGACATTGCGGATGATCATGGACCATGAGAGGGCCCATCGCCGTGGTTAGCGTCTGCATCCCGTGTGCGTCTGCCCATTGCTGAACGATGGCACGGGGTACACCGCTCCACATCACCTGGCGGCCCGGCCGCCATGCGGTTCCCTGGAACCGTTCGCAGATCTGGATCGCTTCTGCGGTGGTGAGCTCTTGATGGAGATACTCGATGCCCACTGACGAGCACATGTAGTTTTGCCCGACCAAATCCCACGTCCAACGCGGTGTCTGGGACCGAGCTGATGGGCAAGGAGGTGGTCGGTGGAGCGATTAGAGATAAACTACGGTCGCATGTGACGTCATCATGAGAAGATCCACGGGAAGAGACATCGGCCAAATCCAGCAAACATGCTATCAACGGAATGGGATCTAGATGTCAGAATATTTATAGGAACCGATCCACCAGGATGGTCCTCTTATGCTGTCAGTCGTTTAGGCAATGGGCGTTGAATCATCCCAGCGAAATCCAAAGATGAGGCCAATTCGGGCTAACCAATTTGGAATGAATGTAGGTATATTACGTTCTCAGGGGTCTTCCCGTATTCCCGAAGCGATCTGATAAGAATGCAATGCATTGGACCAATATATAGACATTGCCTCTGATCAATGGTGGAAGATATGGACAATGGCAATATGTTAATTCGCAAATAGCGACCAGCTAGTATCAGCTACTGTCTCTCTCGGGGAACCCAATGCCTATCGGGGAAGCTGGATAATACCCAATGCAGCAGTAACAGCCTCTAGCGTATTCTATCAGGGCAATAGCGCGCACCTGAAGGGGTTAAAGGGCGGTCTGAGCTCTGTTCTTCACTTGCTAGCACTTGCTCTACGCTCCTGCCACTCTTATGTCTATAAAATTATTGTCTCACTGTTTAGAAACTTCAGCAATCAATCATAATATCTTCTGACAAAAAGATCTGATGCATTTTGATAATAGATAAAAATAATATAATATATCAGAATCCTTAGCCAACAGAGCAAAAGAATCTTGTGATCAGATAAGTATTAGAAGCCTGCTTTCAAACAGTGCTCTTTTCTTCCATGATATATAGAAAAACAGCGACCACTGTCTTCTCTGAAGAGAATATATATAGAAGTTGAGCAATAAATTACAGAATAATAAACAGCGCAGTGAAGTTGCAACTTTAGAAGAAGATCTTTATATTAGTTACAGCCCAGCTTTATTAGCAGCAAGAGAAAACCAGTATTATTAAACCTGTAGAGAATTATTAAAAAATATCTTGAGATACTGACTAAGAAATATTCGCGTTCTATGCTTTTTAATCTAAATTATATCAGTCACTATCTGCTGAGTTAGTATTATCCAATATACGAATAACAGCGCGAGAAAGACCTAGCTTGTGTGTTATGACAAGCGTACTTACTATAAGACGCCAGTACGCGAAGAAGCAGCTCCCGCATTGCTATGGTCTTCCAGTATGATCTATTATCCCAAGGCAACAAGATATCATAATCGTGAGCACGGCGACTTTGATAGCAAGAAATTGGTCTTTACTATATGATTGCATGCGGCTAAACAGATACTATACTGCGGGTATCTATCTTCTCAGTTGTCCAACACTGCGCCTTGGGGGCTGACCCATGAGCTGGGACTAACCTATCGATCCTTCTTGCTCCACAGGGGTGCTGCTATCAGCTGGCCATACACTCTTTACAGAAGGATCTGTATATTTCAATTTTCAGAAGCACTATAGTGATAAGCATGCGCCATTCATGCCACGAAGCAGATATATCTTCTGTGTCAAGTATAATAAACAGATTCTCTTTTTATTAGAATCTATCATATCTGCTCAGGCGGTGTTTTCGAGCTTTTTCAGATAATTGGAATAATTATCTATAATTAGTACATCAGCTATACACAGCGGTGTCATACTGCTGAAAACCAGTTCTGCTCTCGAAAGATCTAGTACAAAGCCCGCAATAGAAATATCTGGATGTTTGGCGCACGGATAGAATAGGAATAGAGCAGAAGATAATATGATGCAACTAGATTTATAGATAAAAGATTGTTTTATCTCCGGCTTACTAAATATAAAATATAGTTATTCTTTGACTGAGTAAGTATATATTCTGATAAATATTTAAAAAAATCTATTAAGAAGTATTAAATAGAAATTCTTAAATACTTAGAATATTAATATTATAATTTTAAAAAATATTTTTCTTATTTTTTATTAGTAATCTATATTTATATCTTAGATTATATATAAGTAAAATGTCTAAAAACTTTTATATTTCTAAGAATTTATTTTATTAATTATAAGTTTAATTTTATTAATTTATTAAATTATTTTAAATTCTATATTTTAAAAGATTTATATTAGCTTAATATTTTATATAAATTATTTAATCTTTTTTATTTATATATTTAATTTTTAATTTAATTTTTTAAATATTATTAAGTACTATATTTTTAATAATTAATCTTAAATTATTAAAATATTCTAGTTATAAAACTTAAGCTAGTAATAAAAGGATTAATTATAGATTCTAATATTTAAATAAAAAGGTTTAAGATTAATAAATTAATTAAAAAAACTTAGAGTGGCTTAACCTGACTGTTATATCTTAATCTTAATCTGGCCATAACCTGGCGATCAGATTAAGATATAAAAAATTTTTAATTATATAGTTAAGATCAGATTAAGATATAATTATTACTATAACTATTTATATCTATTAATTAGAAAGATTAAATATAGCAGATAAATTAATAACCGCAGATTAATTTATAATATATATATTCTTTTTATATAAATAATATATAAAGTATAATATATATTTAATTATAGTATAAATATAATAATATTTTTTAGATATAGTCTACTGCTTAATCTACTTAATTAATTATATTAAAAGATATATTATACTCTGAAAAAGACTTTTATAAAATCTAATATAAAAAAAATAAGAAAAGATATAAAATATTTATTTTTTATATTATCTGAAATAATAATTATAATATTATAAAAATTATAAAGATCAGATCTCTATCTTTATCTAAGTATATATAATAATTAAAAACTTAGATAAGACTAGTTTTTTTAATTTTAATAATAATCTATTCTCTGGATTATCTTTAAGATTATTTATATTTTTATTTTTATTAATATAGAAGATAGTAATTATTTTATTTTTTTTTTATTTTTTAAATATAAAAATAATTAAATCTAAATTAAAATTATCAAGTATATTCTGATATTTCTTATTTATAATAAAATAATTAATATATATTTAAAGTATAACTGTTTTAATTATATTAGAATTAAGATAACTCTAATAATAGTAACAGATATCTTAAGAACTATTAAAAAGATATTTAATATTAATATTATTAATTATAATCAAGAGAAAATCTCTAGTTATTTAATAAAAAATAAAAAACTAATTATAGCAAGACTTTTAATAAATAAGAATATTAATATATTTTATAATATCTGAAATTATATTAATTTAATTAAAGATATTTTAAAAAGCTATATATTTTTAATATCTAGATATATCTTAAGTTCTTTATATATCTTAACTGCGGATAAAAATCTTTAATATTTAAAAATATTATAAAAGATCTTATTTAGATCTGATAGTAACTTAAAGACTATTAATAATATATTAATTATTAGATTTTAACTAAAATAAAAAAAGAATATCTTCTTAAAGATAGTTTAATATTTATAATATTAATTAATATTTTTATTTAGTTATATATCTTTCTTAAACTTTTTAAGCTTTAATATTAAGTCTAGAATAATTATAATTATATAAATATAGTCTTCTGTCTAATAAATATAATAATAATATTTTTAAAGCTTCTGATATATATTATATAAATTTTTAAGAATTTTTTTTTTTAGAGTATCTACTTTCTTTCCAGTCTATTAATTAAGTAATTCAGATAATTAAAGAGATTATTATAAATATTATAAATCTTATAAATAATAGACCCACTGTTCTCAGAAAGATAGAAAATAAAAAGAAAAAAAAAATATAAAAACTTAAGAAGATATTCTATTTATTTTTATTTTATTATAATAAAATAAAGATAATTAATATTATTATACTCGCAGTACTGAATAAAACTTTTAATTACTTAATAAAATTTAAATATTTAATAAATTATAAAATAAATTAAGTTCTAGCGGGTTTTATAATTTAGAAAAAGATAATAAATTAAGCTAGATTTAAATTATTAAATAAGCAAGAACTTCTTATAATATTAAAAACTTATATTTATAAATTATATAATTTTTTAAATTTATAATTAAAAATTAATATAATAAACTAGCTGATAAAAAACTTCTAGAAACTTTTTATAAAAAAAGATTCTATATTAGTCTTTTATAGACAGTTTCTAAAATATATTTTCTTAAAAATTTTTAAAATACTAAAAAAAACTTCAAGACTTCTATTATTATTTTTTTATATATATTTAATAATATTATTTAAAATCTTAATCCGAAGTTTCTGCAGAAGAGTATTAATTACAAGCTAAATTATATAAATAAAATAAAGAATATAATACTAGCTTTAAATAATCTTTAAAAAATTAAAATTAATTAAAATATTATAAAACTAAGTACTCTGACTAAGTTAAGTTTAAAGTTTAGCTAAGATTATATTAAATATTATATTATTATTACTAGTATTATTAATTATTATATCTAATAATTAATAAATAAAATTATATTTATATAAGACTAATAAAATAATTATAGCTAGATTTTTATTAGTATAAGATCTAGATATTAATTAGAAATCTAGCAAAATCTTATAATAATTTATATCTTTTATTAAGAAATATTTAATTAAATTAAGAAATATTTTCTAATCAGAGCTGATTTAATAGTCTATTATAATTAATATTTATCTAATATTTAAAAACTTTAATAATAATTATATATATATCTCTTTAGATAGTTCTATAAAATATTCTTTAATCTATATTTAATTAAAAGAACTTGATTTTTAATAAAAAGATAAAATAATAAGATTAATTATCTATTTAAATTAAATATACTCAACAATTCAGAATAGTAGATAATAAATAATTATAAAATATAAAACTTAATTCTAAAAATTCTATTTATTATAAATTATAGAGATCTAGAGAAAAATAATAATTAAAAAAGATTTATTTTAAAAAAATAAATAAATATCTATAATAACTCTTTACTTAGTATCTGACTAATTATTTATTTAAATATAACTAATAAT